GAGCACCAGTGGCAAGCACATGGCGACCTGAGCCCTTGGAGGACCACGGCCCACACTTGCGGGCACTCCCTCCAGCACACGTGGCCGAGACCTGGGACTGCCCTCACGCCCCTCTCAGTGGTGAAGAGACTAGCAGCGACTATTCAGAAACAAAGAGACAGCGGGTGCCACCTGCCAGGAAGAGGAGGATTCAAGGGACAGGCTGCAGAAGCACTGCACCACTCATCTCCCGCAAGCCCTCCCCGCCACTTCACACAGCCTCAGGCAGAGGCCTGGCCTCAGGACACTGCTGTCCCTGGACAGCGACTATCGGCCCCCGGCTCACCTGTGGTCGGGGCCCTCCCCTGAGGGTCCTGGAGCCATGACAGCCAGGACACCATAAAGACACCGTGTGGGTGCAGATCACTTAGCCACTGTCCGTGGGCCCCTGCGACAGCGGCACTTTATGCTCAGTGAAGGGTGAAAACACACAGGCGGCTGCCGCTGGCCAAACCTGTGACAGCCTGAATATGGATGTAAGTACTAAGTGTGATACATGATAACCCACTGAATTACAAAGGGATCCACAGACTTAAGTTGGTGAATGAAACAAACCCAGAAGGGAGAGAGGAGAGCCCTCCCTCCTTGGCACACTCCCCCCACAAACGGAAAAGTGCTGACCTGGGCCGAGACCACCACCTCCAACAAGAGTCCCAGGAGCGGGACACACGGACGCCCTGTGCTCTCTGATGTGATGTGCTGAGGACGACACATCACACCGCTGAGACAATGGGTCACGTGTGAATGCAGTGTCCCAATTACACGTCACTGTGGCACGGTTTACTTTTCATTTTGATTGCTACTGAGGAAGTGCACACAAAAGTATTCAAAAGTAAAGGTGCATCATGTCTGCAATTTATTTTAAAACACTTCAGACAATAACACGTACCCAGGTACAGGGGGGAGAGTGTTACAGCAAATGTGTCAAAAAGTTAACAGTGGGGAAATGGAGGTAGTAGACAAAAGATGGTTCTTTTGTCCCATTCTTATAACTTTTTAGTGAGTCTGACATTATTTCAAAATAAAAAATTACGAAAATAGTCCCAGTGTCAGCGGTGAAGCTCCTGTCAGATGGGGAAAGGGGAGAGCCATCCTGCCCTGGAGGTCGTTTGGGGCAACGGCACGGGGTCCCGGGGAGCAGGGAGCAGGGAGCAGGGAGCAGGCTCGCCTGTGCCTCTCACTCTTGCCTCCAGGACTGAGACGCCGCAGCTCCGGGCCACACGCTGCCCCACTGCCCTGACGCGGCCTGAACACAGGACAACTACGTGACAACTTCCTCTACTGCTCTTACTGGGAAAACGGGAGAACGTGTTGACAAGATTCGCAAGGCTCATGGCCATCGAAGACCAACTTCAGAAAAGGCGCTGTCGTGATATTAAAGCAAAGAGAGACACTCGGTATTTAAAATGCAAAAGTCTGACGTAAGCAGTGTGGTGAGGTACATACCTGCCAAGAAGTAACGGCCTCCACGTGAAGCTGGCACGTAAATTCAAAGCTCGCTTTCCTGAACGGCCTCCCACTTGCCCCCGCAATACCCCCCAGTAGACCACCAGCGTGACTGCAGACAGCAGGCTGTCTAATCGGACGATATCGAAGGCAGGCACCTGTGGCTCTGGGGCCACTGTGTCACCATCCCGAGTCTCAGAGTTTGGTGTTTTGAACTGGCTACTTAGAAAATCTGGAGAATATACTTCCCTCCATTTTAGAAAAAACAGATTATACCCTTGAGTCTGTCTGTCCCCACTCCTCCCCCAGTATCCATGCTGACTTTGAATGAGTCCTTTATATTAGCAACTGCATTTAGGCATTGATTCACAATTACAAAATGTAGCAAAATGCTGCAGTAAGATTTCCATTTATTTAACTAAACACACTGAGAACAGGTCACATACCTGAAATGACAGAAACGAACACCTTCAACAAACGGATATACTGCTGGGAGGAGGGGAGGGAAGAGGTGACCTGATGGGTGTGGCATCTCACTGTCAGCGGGGGGGAAAAGGTGCGGAAGACCAGCTAATGGCCTCGTGACCAGAACTGCTCGCCCCTCCCACAGCCGACACAAGGGGAGGGCTGTGCTCCAACCCCCACCCCACCCTTAGCCCACGTGGGTCTTACCACTGATCACGTAAGCCCACCACGCAGGAGTGTCAACCAGACCCATCTAGGCAGGCTCAGGGAAAAACTTGGTGGAATCACTGGTATTCCATGTAAGATTAAAGAGAAACTTTTTTTTCTTCTTTTATTGCAAAATATTTTATTATAAAATCATATGCATGTGATTCTGTAACACAGCAATATCACATTCAAGCACCATATGACATTTTAGGTGAAATGTTCAAATTTCTGTCCATCTCATGTGAGACACTCGCATATCCTACCAACCACACTCAAGCAGGTGTTACTTCTGCTGGACCCTGTATGTTAAGTTAGAAGTCCAAATAGGTAAATTAGCTGTACTGCTAAATATTTGTTCAGGCTGCTTCTTAAAACCTTCACTGGGATATAGTGAGCATGCAATAAAATGTTTAAAGTATGCAATGTGAAACATTTTAACATATGTTAAATCACATACCCGAAAACATTTTTTAAAATTTTATTTAGTTATTTTTCAAGTACAGTTTTTTTTGTCTATTTCTCCCATCCCAGCCTCCCCCGCCCCTTGCTCCCCACCTCCCTCCCATTTCCACCCCCCTTAGTTCTTGTCCCTGTGTCCTTCCTATTTGTTCCTCTAAAGAGAAACTCTTATAAAATATCCTTAAACACACCCAGCTTTGTGGCCAAAGGCTCTGATCCAGCTTCAGAAAAGGAGTTGTGCTGACGTACCCCGGTTTTCAGAGCTTCTGGACATTGAGGCACCAGGGCCCACGGGTCTCATCTCCGGGGCAGCCCCACCCAAGTCAGATCTGGTCCCAGGGACATCTGCAGAAACCTGCCTCCAGACAGGGAAGGAGGCAGGCCCCGCCTGCTTGCCAGTTCATCGCCTGAACCACAAGTGGTGAACACAGGGCCCTTGGGCAGAATCCAGCCCAGCACCTTGTTTCTTCCTGGTGGCAGCACCAGGATCCTTTGCCCTAGTTAAGGAGCAGTTACATTTACACAGTCCTAAAATTACATCCAGCCCTTTGAAGGCAACCACGAGGCTGATGTGGCCCCTGGTGAGAATGAATCTGACGCACCTGACCTAGACTCATCCTGTGAGGCTCGTGCTGTTTCCTGCCAGATTCTGGGCACGATTCCAGAATCGGGATTTGGACCTACCCAGCCCACCCTCTTGAAAAGGGACCTGTGCACCCCACCTCTGCATGGGGACTAGCACCCTGCACATGCCGGGCCCTGCTCCTGATGCGTCCGTCCCAGTCCAGCAGGAAGAAGCTGGGCTACCACACACAGTGACGCCAAAGTCCCTTCAGAGAGGCCACGGCAGAGGGAACGGGAGACAGCAACATTACTAATGCGTCATAAAACAAGCAACCGTGCAGAAAACAACGACCACTCAAGGTCTAGGCCAAGAAGTGAACTGGGCCACGTCAGGTGTAGGACAGCGTTCTGCCAGCTGAAGACAGCATTATGAGAACCTCTTATGTGGCATTTCCCATTTAATGACAGAATCACACTATAGCGCATTCTCATCCAACACCACATACGCACCCTCTTCTCCCTTAGGAAGGCGGGAAGAGGGTCCAGTGTGACTTTTCGGAAAGTCCCTAGCCCCCTAACGGAGATTCCACACCGAAGAAATGAAAGACCCCTTTGTAATGGGAATCTGTCTCCATGTGTTCGAAACAGCTTGAATGGCACAGTACATACATGGACAGGAAAACAAGAATGATCGAACGCAATTAACAGATAATACCTATTTACCTAGCAACAGCACTAACATCTAGTGCAGCACAGAAATAGTGGGGTGTCCTAGGCATGACCTCCCTCCGGGAGGAAAAACAGACTTGACATATCTTAAAAAGTACTTAGATGAAACGATAGGATGCAGAAGAAAAGGAGCCAGAAGGGAAGTGACACAGTAAGAAAGAATATTAACAAGTGGTTTGTACAAAATATGACTTAAGTGTCTTTATTTTAGACAAATCAACAGACATACCTCCATACACCGTTGCCCGGCAGAAGATGCGACCCAGCCAGAAGTGGGCGCGCTCTCAGCGGCCGAGAGCCCCTCTCGGGAAGCAGCCTGGCCCGTGCACGAGGGCCCATTTCACTCGCCAAGCTAAAGCCTACAGATGTGTACATGTCTTCAAGGAGAAAAGGTTCCGAATGGTAACATATGCTGACACCAAGCAAAGCAAAAAACCCATGCTGCACCTACAGAGCAACTCACAGGGCTTAATTAAAAACTAAAAAGAAATCAACAGCACACTTCAAAAATCTAAGTGGCAGGCAACTTGGGGTGTAAACTGCCGGCTACTAATGAATTACATCCTAACCTAATACAGTCCAACAACCTCCTAACCTAATGCATTTCAATAAATGATAGTCCAAGGACAGCCGTGGGCCAAAAGGACGTCATCTCCTGCTCTGACCCACGTCACCAGCAAACCCCAGGGCATCATTTCCTTGACTGGGTGAGGATGGAAAGTTAAAAATTTCTTTAGCTTTGACCAAACTGACTAAAGGGAGTGCACACATACCTAATATGGACTGAAAATTATGTTGACATTTATGTGGGGCTATTTCAAACATATAAACAACCCTGTTTAGCTCGAGGGTTTAAGACTTGTGCTTATAAACCCCTGTGCCACCTTGTACCAGGTTCTGCTGAACTACCATCACTGTCGTTCAGCCATAACGCAAATGGAAAACAAGAGAGTAGGAACAATGGTAGGTCACAGGCAGCAGTACCTGCTACTTCCAGAACAAACACAGAATGGTTACTGGACACATTATTTTGTACGGTCGGGAGAGGGAGGGTGTGTGAAGAAGAGGGGTGAGTAAGAAAGCATCATTACCCGCCGTGGATAATAGGCGTTGAACTCGTCCCCGATCCGCCGCAGCTCCTGTGCGATCCACATCTCTGGGCGCAGGTCTGCAGGGAGGGCCTGAGACTGCCGCATGGAGGCTGCACCAGAACAGAAAGAAAAATCACATCGTTTCCATGGATCACGCAGACAGGTGAGCCGCAGCAAGCCCCTCTCACGTACACATTCACGCTTCTGGAGCTCCCTGACTTCAGAGCTACAAGACACATCCCAGATCACCATGGCTCAGTCAGGGCCTTGTACCCACGCAGCTCTGGGTACAGAGGGGAAGAAATGTGGAACAACTTCATTTCCCAAACCTGGGATCCAGCACTGCAAAACTCAAGAATTTCTGGCCAACCAACCACACACTGTCACTTCAGAAAGCAAACACACAAAATAGTAAAATAAATAACACCAAAAGAAATATACTGGAAACATATGAGAACATAAAAATTCAGGTGATCAGTAAGGTAACTGCTTTCATCTTCATACAAGGTAAAATTCCTAGGAAAAACTTCAAGCAGCTCAGAGGAATATGAGAAAAAATGGTTGTTCCACTCAAAGCAAAATACGTGAGCCTGACAAATGGCAGCGGGCAGGCTGAGGGCCTGTGCTCGGTGGCAGCGGGTGCAGGGTAAAGCCTGGCTGCAGGCTTCATCTCAGCAGCAAGGTGGCCGGCGGATCCCCGTCTGCACCCCCGTGTGGGACAGAAAATGTTCTGGGTGTAAGAGCAAAGGTGTTTTTCTTAAAGAAAAAAGAGGGGAGCTTCCCTTTCATTAAGCTGTCACTAATGTCCACACCCACTTGTTAATGGAGCTACTGAAGCCACGTGACAGTCAAAAAACCCAAGAAAAATGAAGGGGAAGAGAAACACTAGTCATCACAACATCCCACCACACACCGGAAGCGCCTCCACGTCCCCAGGAAAAGCGTCGTTCACAGCTGGAGAGCAGGGAGTGCAGGACCACGGCCCAGGAGCAGTGACTCTCGGGCTGGAGCAGCCTAGCACAGGCGCCGTGGTGACCTGCACTACTCACTGGGCACTTGGTACCGCTCGCAACTACACACGCATGTCCCATTTCAACCACCTGCGGTAATCAGATCTCACGGTAACATGAACGTGGCTTCCTATTTTGTAAAAAAATTTTGTGCTTTGTATTTTATTGTTATAAGTAAAACTGATGTTGAATCACAGCGTCACGGCTTCTGTAAAAGCCCTTAAAAGTGAACTCCTTGAAGAGTTTTAACCAAGTCTTCTCAATATTCCTGCCCCAAGTCCCACCAAAGTGAATTCCACAGTGATGCTACAAACACAGCACCCTCAAGGGGCAGGGCCGTGTGTGGAATGGGGGCCGTGGGAGGGTGGCCAACGACCCACACGGCTCTTCGCCAGAATGACCTGCACTCTGAGTTAAGCCAGGGGAGGACCCCCTGGAAAGGAATGTAAAGCTGATGACAAGGAACTTCAGGACAAGCCAGGCATGTCCCCTGAACACACAGCCGACCACATAAAAATCACTTTGGCTGAACCTCTGTCATGCAAATATTTCTACTGTTACTATGAAAGTCTATTAAATTTACATGTTAAATGACTGAAGTGACAGAACAACACAGTATTTCAGGGTGCAGGTGATGCCAGGGGGTGCTGTAATTGCTGACTCCCTGTCCCTGGGGGTTTAGGACTCTTTAAGGATCGACCCCACGGCAGGTACCAAATCATGACTTATTTTATACTACCAGCAGCCAAGCATTCTTTTCCACTACTGAAGCTTTTCAAAGTCATCTCACCGTTGCGGGGAAGGGAAGTATCTTTTCTCAGAACTCCTATTTCACACCAGAGCCTGCAGGGTGCTCTGAACCTGCCCATATGTACGGGTGACCAGGCCAGCGAATGGGATACTCCACAGCCACTGAGAGCCACCACTGCCCGCCTCTCAGGGCCTCAGAGCCCACTCCTTCCTCACTACACTTGGCTTTCTTTACTAGCAACCTGCTTTCAAACCCTAGAGTCAGAAATAAAGAAAATGCCAACTATCCCAAGAAAATCTGTTGACAGACAGACTGTTTTACAAAGATGGTGCACTAGTAAAAACTGCTGGAAGTGACCTGATAGTCGAGATAGTCACTAACTCACCAGCAAGTAGGAGCACCATGTGCCAGACAGAGTCCCAGCAGGCGACCCGGGCACGGCAGCCAGAGAGGCCATGCCCAGCCCCCACAAAGCTAACATTCTGTGGATTAAGTGGTAAGTTGTAACTCAATGTTGTTTCCTCTGAACAAGGATACTTATAAGTAATCTGATATAACACAAAACTGCTCCCCGTTACTTTCCCCAGCAGTAGCAGAAGCCTGGTAAGTGTGTGCGGTTTCGAAGGGCCCGGCTCATGCTCTGACCGGCGCCCAGAGCACCATCAAGGAAGCCAGTCCAGGTGGAAGTCGGCTGATCCAGACTAGCACTTAGGGGCCTAGGGAACTGGTCAACCTTGTCCGCTGCTAAAAGGAAACATGGAACCATGGTGGCCAAATCCAACTGCTCCCCTTAGAGGTAAAGGCCTGGCTATTTCAGGGAAGGAAGTGAAGGAGAGGATAGATGTTTCTTCTACACCAAAGGAAAGTTCAGCAGGTTAAATGCGCTGTTACTGTAAATAAACACAGACACACGCCCCAGGGGTGTGGCAGGGTGACAGGAGGTGCTGTGTCTGGAGGCCCTCAACCTGTGTTGTACGAGCACCGCCCTCCCCGCACGTCCCTGGTGCACAGACCAGACCCCGAGGAGAACTGAGCAGAAGGGAGAGGGGCCAGACGTGTCCTCAGAGAACACGCATGCGTGACAGGAGTCACAGCAGCCAAGGACGGCGAGTCAGATCGGGCTGAGCACGTGCTCACGGGCCACAATGCCGGGTCCGTGAGCGAGTGCCAAGTGTACACTTGGGTTATTGTTTTAAGGTTGATCTAAAGCAGTGATGCACGATGTAAGTGAACTTCCTCAAAGGAGATTGATCTGTCTCAGCCACTTGAACTGAATCTATCATCATCTGGCTTTTTAAAGAACTTTTTTTTAGAGGCAAATACTGTTCTGGTTCCCTCAATCTGCAAATGTAAAATGAATGACAACACTCATCTGCAATGAAACCTAGCGAGTATGATACAGTATATACGGTTATAAAGTAGGATTATAGGGTGAAAACTCTATTGAGAACTTTAAAAGGCAGCTTCCATATTATGAAACAGTAGTCTTACTGTCAGTCAACACAGTGCATTTCTAACATGAATTTCAAAGACTGTTTCTGAGGTGACAAAATACCTCTCTCGTGGGGAGGGTAGGAAAGGTCTTTCTTTTCTTTTCTCTTTAAGAATTTATTTCCCAAGAGGTCACAGACTATGTTCTAGGTCCTGGGGATATATAAACAAACGAAGCAGATAAAAATTCCTACTCCTGTGAAGTTTACACTTCAATCGGAGAGATACAGACAATACACACGAGGTCTGTCCAGCAAGTACCCAGCCATGTGCTATGAAAGGCAGAGACATTTATTGAAGGCACAAGAAACACTGGACACAGGACAATGACACCTGATTCCTCTTCAAAGTGGGCATCTTGGGACCTCACACAGTTCTCCCAATCGCCATCAACTGCCCCGTCCTGTTTTCCTAAATCTCATGGATGGTCTGAAATCTCTTCCTTCTCAAAGGTAATGTTAGTGTTGGGAAAAGCCAGAAGTCACTTGGCACCAAATCAGGGCTGCAGCAGGGGATGAGTCACCTTGGAGATTCGGTGTTTCACCAAAAAACTGCACGAGACGTGATGCATGAGTGGGCGTGTCATCGTGAAGAATCTGCCAATCACCAGTTGCCCACAGCTGCGGCCTTCTGAATCACCTGAATAGTTTCCATGGAGGAATGTAGAAACTTAACATAAAATTTGATGCAGAGTCATTGCTCTACTCACTCAGTCATCTTGAATGCAATGTCCACACAGTACAGATGCTCACTCAACGGCGTCTACTGCCCCCACTGACCAGTACAGTGAAGTCATCATTGTTCACACACGCACATTCCAGTCCACTCTCCTTGGCTACCAGGTTACACTGATGTCATGCAAACTATTCTTGTTATATTAACAATGGCTGTACTTTTTCCGGACAGACCTTTTAAATAAGTAAATTACAGAATAACTTTTAATAACTTAAAAAAAATAAAATGGTAAGGCAGAGCGAGAGTTCAGGGAGTTAAGGGGGAGTAGTCAGAATAGGCCTCACCTACAGGGTGGCTTTTGAACAAATATTTAAAGGAAAGTGGTTAAAAGATAGTAAGAAAAGGAGGACCCACATTAACTAGATTATATAGATTAAGAATAAATGTTTTATAATAAAATTACTAATGAGAAGCTCAATTCTTTTCCATTCTTCCCTGGGAAGTCTGAGGTGACAAAGCATCTATAACTCGATCATCGCAATTGCTAGAAAACAAAATTCTGAGTGACGGTGGCGTCCTCTGGAAACTCCAGTCAGTTTACTTTGTACGTCAAGTGGTTGGTTTTCATGACCACACAACTGTAATCCACAAAATGTCTTTTGGTATATGAATCAAGCGAACTGTGAAACTGGTAAATACCTTTTTAAGAACAGCTTGAAGAGACTTGTTTTTTTATATAAAAATATACAGAATCACTGCTAGAAAGTTTCTTAGACAAGAAACATATAAAATTGAGTATGTTTCCTAATTCCTACCCTGATACAGTAACTGCTAACAATCACTGAGTTCCCACCATGTGCAGACATTGTGAGATAGTTTATGTGCTTAACTTCATTTAATTTATTCACTCATTCAACAAATAGAATTGAGCACTTACTTGTACCAGGCACCACCTAGACTCTGGGGATACAGCAGGGACAAAACAAAATCAAAATCCTTGATTTTACGGAAATGATATCTAAAAGGCCAGGTGGAAACAGTAGTATGAAGAAAGATCGAAGCAGGCTAAAGGGGGTGGACAGTGCCTTTGTGTGGGGGTGCTCGTTTATTTTAGGGTGATCAGAGAAAGTCTAATAGGATGACACTTGGTTTGCTGCACGAAATTGTATCTAGGTAAGAGACA